GTCAAGATGGTGTGCGCAAGAAGGCCAAATACCTTCATGATGCTCCTCCGGAAGCCCTTCGGCCTGTTCTTGGCCCAAATTACAACCCCAATCCCAATCCCACTCCCTCGCGGCCCAACACTCAGCGTCAGAATTCGAATGCCAGCCAGTCAGATAGTATGTCTGCAACTGGTAGCAACTTCTTTTCTCAGGCGAGCACTACGACACTACCGGTCTATTCAACGGGCGCGCAGACTCCTGTAGGCATTGATAGTCTACCTTTCAACCCTCAAACGTCCCCAACATCCTTCCAGGCTCCAATCAGCAATGCACACGCTCCAATTAACAACATTATACCTACTGGTAATATGGACTTCAACGCCTTATTCGACCCTAGCAACCCTGCTCTGTACAACTTTGACCTCGAAGGTCTGAATTTCGGTAGCCAATACGCCGGCTGGGAGTTTGGTATTCTCAACAAGATGGCCCTTGGAGCCGAGACACCTCCGCGAGAGAACTCCCTGTCACAGACTCCAACCACCGAGGCCACTTATGCAGCTCTCTTCGGAAATGCAAATGGCAACGGAAACGGCTTTGATCATCCCATGTTAGGGGCCGACTTTTCGGGTATGGACCAAAATAACCAATCTCTATATGCCCAGGGAAACCTCCAGCACGGACTACCCCATGCTTATGCTATTGCAGCCGGGCCTACAAGCCTTGCCAGCCCAAGTACAGATGCGACGGCCAGCCCCCATTCTGTTGCGGGTATGGAAGGCTCACCAGGCCATAATTTTGCTGGAATTCCTACAGTTCCTGGCGCCCAACGACACAGACCGAAGAGTACTAAGCCGAATCCCAAGTCGTATCTTGGCAAGCGACAAAGAGACTCTGCTGCTATCTACGAAAGTGTAAAAGAGCCGTATCCTTACACAACCGGATTCCACAACATGGTGGCTGTCCTACGAAACCGTCTGCCCGGCAACAAGCTACTACGAATCGCCAAGGCCCTTGGAGAGATTCGACCGTCGTTTATATCGTGTACCAAAGATCTGACCCGTCAGGATCTGATTTTCATGGAGAAGTGCTTTCAAAGAACGTTGGTAGAATATGATGACTTTTTACAGCATTGCTGCGCTCCGACCATTGTCTGTCGAAGATCAGGCGAGGTCGCTGCGGTCAACAAAGAGTTCATCGCGTTGACAGGGTGGACAAAAGAGGTGTTGCTCGGAAAAGAGCCAAACCTCAATATCAATACCTACAGCGGGCGTTCGACCAATGGGTCGAACACACCAGACAACAATGCTCAGGGAGACATGCCAACTCCCCGGCCTCAAAAAGCCACTCTTGACATGAGCGGCGGACGACCCCAGCCTGTTTTCTTGGGTGAGCTGCTTGATGACGACAGTGTTGTCGAGTTTTACCAAGATTTTGCGGAATTGGCCTTTGAGGACAGTCGCGGCAAGGTACAGAGAAGTTGCCGACTCAACAAGTATCGATCTTCTCAAAGCATGGACATCAAGCCAGATCATGCCGCTCAGAAGGACGTACAGCCAAGCATCCTCAGTAGCCGAGTTACGCGAATTGACAGCGAGCACGGTATATCAAGGATTGAGAGGGATGGCAAGGTTGAATGCACTTACTGTTGGACGATCAAACGAGACGTCTTTGACATTCCCATGATGATTATAATGAATGTGAGTTCTAATATCTCGTTCTGTAAGACTTCTTTCTTGCTAACTCCAGTGCAGTTCTTACCGCGATATTTACCAGACCAAGGACCCCAGCAACTAGCAGTTTAGCTGGTTATGACTGAGGGCAAAACTGAAATACGTTCATTCTCCCTTTTTGTTGGAGGTTATGTTCTTCGAAATGAGATCCTAGCCAGGCCTTTAAGGGAGGGCTGCCTTGCAAGAGAAGGGAAAGATCTGGAGTACACACTTTTGCATAGAAGATTAGCTTTGATGCTGTATAGTTTATTGGTAGTGCTCTAAGTCAGACAGATGGGGGTTTCGCATGATACCCAGGTAGTTTAGCAGATATGAAATGAAACAACCATGACTTTTGAAAAAATTCCCATCTCTTCTATGTTGCTATCTATCCATAACTCCCGGTCACTTTTTACCATATTCTATTCCTCTGAGATCTATCCTAGGCATCTCGAACTAACCACTGGACATCGAGTTTACCCTCAACATCTTTACCGCCAATGACACGTCCCTTGGCAGGAGCCCAGGCCTCTCGCGCAAGACTGTTCTTTGCAACCTCGCAGTCAAAGTTGATATCTTCAATCAGAGCCTCTAGACTCTTGTAGTCCTTCTCCTCACGGATGAATCCAAGGATGAGAAGACGCATGGGCACGTCATAGAAGTCTGCGGTGAACTTGTGCAGCAGATGGACCTCTGCGCTTCGAACTGTGTTCTTGTAGAAGGGGTTGTACCCAATGGACATCACCATGGGAAAGATGTGGAAGGGAGGGTTAGCAGGGGCTTCGGCAGCGAGGAGGGCATCCTCTGTGTCGGACTTGGGAGGTGCGTTGGATGAAGCCGAGGGGATGTCCGGGTGTGTTGTGGGCAGAGCGAGAGAGGCATAGCCGAAGTAGACTCCGGAAGGGATGTTGGCGATCCATGGTGTCAGAGCCTCGTCCACAGGCAGGTTGGCGGTTGGTATGCCGAGCTAAGAGGTGTGAGTAAAATAAGTGATGCGCGGGAGGAAACTTACCTCTTTGGAGCCGCGGCCGAAACCAGAGATCACTTTGCCTTCCATGTGAAGAGGATAAGGGGCCTCGGGACCGGAGTCTGGGCCGACGACTGAAGGACGAGAAGACATGATATGCAATCACAAACGATGATGTGCTCGATAGCGGGTATGTGTCAGTGGGCTATGAATTATATGAGTATCGTGTTTTTACAGAGTATTCTCATAGCTGAAACTTACCTGAGTGAATCTATTGAGTCGTGGTAACAAAAGATGAAGCTTACTGAACGAGTGAGTGAGTGAGAAGTTGATAGAAGCTGGTGGTGGTTATCTGAGTCGAGGAGTGGAGTTGATGATGAGATCCGACGAATGGCGGGGGCGGGGAGAAGCAATGCCGAAGTGCGATGGGTCGGAGCAAAGATCAAGACTTGCTTACTATCTTAGTAGAAGACCATTGATAACTATATATCAGCTTCCATGTGAACATATATTCATGCAGGGGGAAAATACTGCATTTCATGGCTTTGTGAAACGCAACACAAGGTGTGCAGAATCCTAGACAGGGTTGAGCTCTGCTGCCAAGAATTAGTGAGATAGGTACTGGGCAATTGATCGTTCGCGGCTAACATAACCAATGATTAAAATCATAAACTCATAAACTCACATATACAGGGCAGAAGGCAGATAAAAGGCTGGGAATACTACGCTCTTAATGGTAAATTGTTTCTCACTCATGATATACTCAAGTGAATCACTGCCAGCTGGAGTCTTGAATGTGTCCAGCCCACCTTATCTTGCACGATTCGTCTCCCAATAGCCATTTATTGTTGCAGAGGAGTGTATGCATCATGAATTTCAAATCACCCTATTTGTGTCAATGCTTTTTATTAACGAGTATTTAAGGAAGCGCGTTGTGGAATGGCTAGTTTATGTTGACAGTCTGCGAAAGCGTTGTGCAAAGGTAGAGTCATGTTGTACCACAGGATCAAGTCAAGTCACTCTCTCAAAGGCTTCACGCAGAAGTCTCAGTCTTCGTCTCCGTGGCAGCCTGGCTACCCGGCCACTCAGTCCTTCCCAATTTTATAATATCACTTCCTCCAAGAATCCAGTATTTGCTCGGTGCCTTTCCCTCACTCGCCAACTGCGCAGCCCTCACGGCCGCCTTTCCAATGACATCAGCATCCTGACCAAGAGTATCTCTGATACCAGCGCTGAGATGACCAAGACCGTTGACTGCCCCTTGAGCAATACCCTCCACTGTGCGGCTGGTCTCTCTGTGGCCAAGGATCATACCAGGCTTGAGAATCACGGCTTGCTCAAAGTCGAGTTCCTTGATGGCGTCTTCGACACCGTTCTTCATTTTTGCGTAAGGTGAAGATGAGGAGAGGAGAGATCGTGTTCCAGCACTGGAAATAAAAACGAATGTTGAGACGCCTGCAGCCTTCGATGCCTTTGCAAGTTCGATATTGAGGTCATGGTCGATCTTCCACTGATTGGCGATTCCACCTGCCTGGGCGCGAGTGGTACCCAGTGCGGAATAAACCACAGATGGCTTGGGTGTGAGCCCTGTGAGAAGCTCCGCCCATTTGGTGGTATCAGCGTCGACTATCGCATTGAGATGAGGTGATGTCGTCTTGGGAGCGCGTCGAGTGATGGTATGCACAGGGTTGTAGATTTCGGAGGCAAGCAGCGTTGAGAGAATGTTTGATCCGACCAGGCCGGTTGAGCCAATGATGGCAGCAGAGGGCGAAGACATGGCGATTGCGTTTAACAGGATAAATTAGCGGTTGTGGTAGGTGAAGGGTTTGTATAGGTGTCGAATCGTAAGAATAGCAGCAGATGAGGGTAGCAAGATGAGAACAATAGAGAAGTAAAAGATAAAAGAATCAGGTCAGACCCTAGTTGATCGATAGGCAGGCGAGATGGACGCATTTAATTGCGAAAAATCAACGTCAGATGGAAAGCTTGAGACTGAATGATGTGACGACATGGTCCAAGCGGGGACAGGGAATCAGCCACATTGAATTGAGTTGACATGTGATAAATATCATGATCAATTGAGTCAATTACGTACTTTATAGAAGTCCCAAATCTTTTCAATTTGACTTACTTTGACTGTTTCTTAACAAATTCTCAACTGCTTTCAGAAGCCAAGCTTCCAAGTGAAGCTGTAAGCACCTAATCGTACAAGCACCTCAGCCCTGCCCTGCCTGCAGCTTACACTAACTGCACAACTGTGGCGCCCCCTGCACTCTTCAAAGCAGGGGTCCAGTTCCCCACTCTTTTCTTACCCCACAACTCGAGAGCTCAACTTTGACTTGCGACATCATCTCTGCCTGCGTCTGACCGTTACACAACAACGTCTTGACGCCAGCGCGCCCTCTCTTTTCCCCCTCAATATTTACCCCAGCAGTGTACGAACAATCAAACACAGTTTTTGAGGATTCACAATGGCTACTCAGTACGAAGGTAACATGAAACAACCCCCCCTCAACCCCTCCATTCGATTTTATAGCTAAATTTCAAAAGTCGAACACAATGTCAAGTTTTCTGAAGGCCGCCGCTCGGGCCGTCGTGTAGACATGTCATCATTCTTCTCCCTCCTCGATCAGATCGCCGAACCTTCAGGCAACCAAACTCCTCATCACAACCCACACGCCACGCCTACTCCCGTCGACACGGCTGCTCTCTTCCGCCTCCTCCAGGAACAGCTACACCACCTGCACACAACCGCTCCTACAGACGATAACAGAGAATTTCTCGAGTCTTTGATTACCAACCTAGAAGATGATATCAATGATCCTCCCACTCGCTTGCATGGTGTTTCGCAAGAGTTTCTTGATTCACTCGACCGTGTCAGTCGCAAAACCCTCAAGCAAGATGACGACTGCGCCATCTGCAAGGTGCCCTATCTAGAAGACCAATATTGTCTTGTAGTTGAGCTCCCATGCGAAGGAGGTCATAGATTTGATCTCGAGTGCGTTGGACCCTGGTTGCGCAGCAAGGGAACTTGTCCCATGTGCCGTCAAGACATGGGGAAGAAGCAGGAGGTTCCTGTCGTGCAGGATGACGAAGAGGAAGACGGCGATATGATGTATGCCTAGGCATTGGCGCGTTAGTAATGATATGCATAGCCTGGCGTCGGGAGTTTGAGCCACTATGGGCTTGATGTTTTCACAACATGATGAATGTAAAATTGACCACAATCTTGGCTCTTGGCCAATTCTATTCTGCACTTCCTTCCGGTCTTGGAGAATTACACACCATCCAGCCATTTATCTACACCTGTTTGCTCTTCCTTGATTGATGTTAGAAAGATTTCTAACTCTCGGCACTTTTCTTCTATCTCCCACGCCATGTATTGGCCATGTAGCCAGTTCATGTGAAGGCCTGCCTTGAACAGTCTATCCTGCAGCCATCCCTGGCCAGACCCAAGTTCTCTCCACAGTACTTTGAGCCTCTTTTTCCAGAAATCCCATCTTTCTCCGGGCATTCCGCCCTGGATGAACTGCCCCTGTGCTAAATCCCCTGCCCGTATCTTTGTTTCGCCAATTACAATCTGAAGATATAGATGTCCGCCGGCTGTTATGATCCATTCACAGGCCCCAAGAATATAAGCATGAGACATCCGCGTCTCAAGTGGCAATGGATCTTCTAGCGCTCGTCTCATGACGATGAAGCCAGATGAGTCATCTCGCAGTATACCTCTGATAACGAGACGAGCATAAAACGACTGAAAAGACACCCACCCATCATACGTTCGACACAGGCGAGTGTCGTTGGGAGGAACTAAGCAACAGTCAGTTAGTGTCTTAAGAGGTTTAGACGAAGGGCAAGCCCAGGAACATACCAGTGGAGACTTCAAGAAAAAGCTCCCGCAGCTCTGGTAAGCCTTGCCAAATAGAAATCCCTTGGGGGACAGATGGTTCTGTGTGCTGTTGCCCGAGGGCATCTATCGTGCGTACAACGAGATCCATACGTTCATCTTCAACTGGAATCCGTCGAGGAACTTCTCGAAAAACTTTCCAGATTGCAGCAAGGAATATTTTAGAAGAAGAAGACGCACGAGACTGGGAGTTGAGGATTTGAGACGCATGTTTCTACCACAGCTCATCCAGTTCATCAGCGAGCTTCTCTGCCCTGGAGTCAGACTGTTGGCCCTCGGCAGATTGGTCTGATCCAGTTCCAGACCTATTTCTAGTAGAAGCTGGTCTCATTTGGTCAACAGCTTGATCTAGCCTACGGCCTTCAGCATTCAAGGCTCGATCGAATATGTCGACTATCTCGAAGTGCAACTGGTTCCGTTCGTCATCGGTTGCCAGATCTTCTAGGGAGATGCGACATTGTGACATTTCATGGGCTTCCTTGATGTTTGTTTGCTTGTTGAATGATGTTTCGATGACTGTTGATGAAAACTGAACTTAACTTGAGTGTTATCGAATGACTATCAAATTCAGAATAATAATGTGAGTTGCCCAAGATAGATGTCATTTTAGGCTTTATACTCAAAGCAAGCAAGGTGAGGCCCTGTCAGTTGGGAGCTTCCTTCGACATTTGTGCAGTTGCTGGTCTACCAGCAGTCGTTGTGGCTGTCCTTGATATCAATGGTCGGGAGTGCCTTAGCATTCAACCAGGTTCAATCAATCTCCAAGCACTCATTGAAATCAAAATTGCGCGTCTTGCGGGCGCTGCGATTGTAATTGTGTTTTTTATTATTATCTAGATATGCAATTAAGCCTCCAGAGCTCTTCTTCTGATGAACAAATAGGTAAATACTTATGAAGGCATAAGTAGAACACGAGATACAGGTCATAGGAATCGTTGACTTCTCGCTTCATGTTCCCATTCCTTACTTGGCCTTGGGCAGATCTCCCTTCTTTGGCGCACTTCCACTTCCGCTAGATCCTCCTTTTGAGATCTCTTCTCCAGCACCCTTGGTCTCAATCGTTTTCTCGTCACCCATGGGTGTGCTAAGCTCTTGGTTCGCACCACTCGCGTTCAGGGCGTCTTCTCCCTCTCGGCCCTTAGACTTGGTCCTCTCTCTGGTCTTATCGGCAGCTTCCTCAGGCCGTGTCGTGTTAGGGTCAAAGGCGATGTCGGCGTGCTCAGAGGCAACTTGCTCGTCCGTTCCTGATTTTGTGTTCTCATTCACAACTGGGCGTAGAGACTCGCGGTCCTGATCGTGCTTATACGGCATCTGCATACGTGTTGTCGTGTGGAAAGGGCGGATGGTGGTTGCAGTTGTACGCAGGACATTGCGGAAGAGAGACATGGCGAAAGATGAATGGATGAGACGTGAGTTTCTGGTAGAAATTGAACTTATGCAGGATGTTTTCGGTGATCTGGGTAATTGATTCAAGCAATTGGAATATGTATTTGGCAAGTTTTGAGCTTCCAACGTAGCTCAAGTTGGAGTGATGTTATTTGGACTACGTCATCGAGCATCATACTCTGAACGATCTCAGTCGTCATGATTTTGTAGGTAGACTAACCTACACCATATTGGCGATTATCAGTGTACCGAGGTAATGAAAGAACTGTGGATTTCCAATACTCGTGGTTGTAATTTGATACTTAATCACAAGCAAAGATTTGATGTAGCAATGGTGTTGCGAATTATTCAGTCATGACTATGACAGGGCTGGAGCACTCCCTCCGGGGTATCATGATAAGATATGATTTGTACAGGCAGCAGAGGGTGAGGTCGAGTTTGCTACACCCTATCATCTGAGATATCTGATCGGTAGTTAGATGGTCATGACTGCCGTCAAGGTATGATCCATAACGCAAGTATTAAAGTCATTTGACTGCCGAATTTCGCTTGCGCAGAGAACAACAACGAAATCAAGTTATCGACTGAAACGAGATCGCCGTCTAGGCCAGTCAAAGAAAAGCTGATCTGCTCTGGCCAAATAATACGAATATAACTCAGGAAGCATGGGCACAGGCAAGTTTCTACAGTATCGTTTCAGAGTTCCGGCCTACAGCATGGCATGTTCAAATATATACAAAATAAGAAAGATTTTGAGATGTCCACTGGATTTAGGCCTCCGCAACTTGCTCAATTAGACATACCAAGCTCCAAAGCTATTTAAATTGACAGCTGCGATTCAGTTGGGTCCTGGTTCTTCCGAATCTAGAACATAAACGTATGAGTATGATGAAAATAACCGCATCGTGGATTCGTACAGGAAGAAACTAGACAGACTAAACACCAAACGGTCATGAGAAACGCAGACATTAGCAGGCGGCGTTGCGCCTCAGCTGTTAGATCACCGGCAAATAGAATAAATGGCACCTGGATGGGGAAAACAGACTCATGTTAAATACCATTCAGCCGGAGAAAAGGCATCACATCGGAGAAGTGTTTATTTGTCTACACCAATATTCGATATAAAATGCTTCTTGGCCGGCCGCGGCATTGCCCGAGAGGCGTTTCCCAAGCCACTAACGTCTTGGAGCGTTGTTCTAGAACAATTTAATTTTGTTTTCATAGAAGCCAACACTACATGGAAGCCAATACTACACGTGGTTGATCAAACCAGGCCTGTTTGTTGAGGTGATGAGGATCAAGCCGCAATGTTAGTTAAAAGGAGGTAGTTCAAGTTGACGTTAAAGAAATGCCCGGGGATCAACCCTGCTGAGAGTTTGGTAGGAGCTGTCTATCGCCCTAAGCGAGTATCAGCTTCCGACGTGTTCATGCAGTGAATTAAATTGCTCCATCTCTAGGTTTGGACTTGATATGCAATAATGACAAAAACTTCGTTCAACCAACATGAAAAGACTTAGAAAACGGCTGCGGCGTTAAAGAATAGGAGGATCAGCAAACATGGGTCTCCATCTGGAACGGTATCAGGGACAGGGGGACCAGACGAACGTCTTTGGCAGCCTTGCGATTGTGATGATGTTCAGAGGCTGGAACACAGCATTCCATACCTAACTACGCAAGTACCGCCAAGGTTACAGGCTTTGAAACACGGTTGAGGCACCTCCATCTCTGTGTACCTCAGTACCTATCCGTCCGTTAGCTCCTAAGGGATCTTTTGAATGCTGATGCGGCTGCTGCAAAATGAAATTGGTTGGCTGGCCTGCATCAAAGAGGCGGCGCCGTTGGAAGCTGGAGCAGGGACCCGAGGTGGTGGTACAGGTACAACTGTTGGTGCTGCAGGTGTTTCTTTGCTTTTTCTTGGTGCAATTGGCAGCCGTTGTGTTGTGTCCACTGTCCAATGCAATCTAAACACCTTGGCAAGGGATCGGTGTAAGTGAGATATGTGCAATTTGCACCTACGTGCCATGATATTGCGATACTACAGAACCCATTATCTCTGACCTGTAAAAGCTTTCAGGCAGCTGTATTCAGCTCCGCTATATCAGGGTCTCTCTATGAGCAGTGAGCAGGTGAAATATACGTCAGTCCCAACATGGCAAACAAAGCCGGTCTATGTGCATTGGAACGCGGCAGGCCAAACTAGCCCTGGTTTGGCTGCTTGGTTATTAAGTCATGAGGGACGCCACATTGTCCCTTTACACGACAGGTCACCGCTGCCGACTACGGGCATCTCCGTCGCTTATCTGCACATGAACGGCGTTTGCAGAATCCAAATCCAACTCATAACCGAAGGGCTCATGCATATGTAGTAGTACTGGGCTGTCTTGTGTTATTAGCATGTGAGCCGAGAGAAGCCTTCCAGAACGATGCTAGGGTCACACAAACACAAATCAGGCCTGTTTGTGAAGCAAACATACAGTAGTCGTTCTTGTTCATGCAGGGGCCCGTCCTTCAGATGAGATCTGAGAACGCATCAAAGGCCCAACTGGCTGGATAGGTACAGCAGATGTGTTGTTGCTGGTTGGCTGGTTGGTCGGTAGCGATGTCGAACCACCCTGTCAACTCTGCGACCAACAAGAACTCCACGTCTCCGTCTCCATCAATCCCTAACAGAGGAAGTAGTTTGATCGTCGTGTGTCAGCTTCTCCCTAGTCGGTGCGTACCTGGCCGCCCGTCCGGCCTTTGTCGGGTTTTCTGCTGTAGGTCCCCCCATATTGATTTGCGCCACGAAGCATAAAGAGCTCAAACATTGGAGACGATCGCTAGCCGCAGAGTACTATGTATTGAGCCCAGGCAGAAAGGGGATGCTTCTCCGGTAAACCTAGGCATCCCGTAAATCCGAGGTTCAAATTTGAGCTGAGGCGGAGTAGATCTTTGCTCAGCTGGCCAATTGCGATTATTTCAAGGACCAATACCGTGTCGATGTGAGCTATGTTTGGAGTTTGGAGTTTTGTAATGGGAACATTGAATCCCAGAGTTTGAACGTGTGAATGCCATATCCGGATTTCTCAATAACAAACGTTATCGAACAAGATTAAAGATAAGTGGTCAATTGGCCAATAAGCGACAAAGGTCAAGTTGGTTGGTTGCTGTCCACTTGAAAGATAGCCAAGACAACATTAGCATGTATCGACCTGTAGATCTCGAGCATGGCTTCAGTGAGAATTAGGGGATTCTCACACTCCCGGCCGCTGATTCGCCTCGGCGATAAAGGTCACAAGTGGCCTGTATCATGAAGCACATGTCGAGAGGTACTTGAGATACCACTGTACGTATTTTCAATCTTGTGTCAACGGGGCACAAAATGGTCTGGTCTTAGTCGAGTTGTCAGGCTGATCAGTGGTTAGACTGGTTTCCGCCACGCGCCGCCTATCCACAAACACTACGCCTTCGGACACGCCGAACAAGAGGAGAGGTAATCAGTAATGTAATGTTATGGATGAACAGGCAAGGTAGTAAGCGGCAACCGTAGAGAGGGAAACATGCCGACTGTGGGTGGCTTCCTGAAACAATGAAGATAATATGAATATGAAACTACGTGTTTCTACTTGTCAATAGAAAATAAGGAGACTGATGTGGTGATGATCTTTGGCGGTATAGTGCACCTTTAGCATAGTTACATTGCAGGTCAACGCTGCTGCACCTAGGGACGCAGGACGTTTCTCTCACCCTCTTTTGAACGGCAGTGGAACCAGGGTAGGTCGTACCTACAGTCCCCTGTCTTGTTTGGCTCTTTTACAAGAGTCAGGACCCTTGTCATGGTCTGGGGCCAGATGAACGAACTCAACTCTGAGCCAGCTGAGCACGAAAATGGGAATAGCGAGAGAGACGAACTCACCCATGCAATGCAATGCAACGACGGCATCTTTGGTGATGTGAGATGGTGAAGACACATTTGGTAGAGAGAAGGCTGTCTTTACGAGAGTTGTGGAACATGTATTTCAACAGGCTAGATAGAGATGGACAACTTCAAACTCCATTTTCAAGTAGCTCGAACAGTCTAACTGAGTTCATTCATCGAGTTCTCTTCTGATGGATCGTAAAGAAGAGTCATATCATGGTTTATCTCTCTAGTTATTCTCAAATTCTCATGCTATTGAATCCTACGAGCCAAGCCAAATCATTCCATCCCATGCTAACAAACAACCAGGCGCTTTTTTCTGGCTGGACTGCCACCGGTCACCATCTTTGGCAGGTTAGTCCACACTTGGTTCTACATGTGCCGTAATGGTAATTGTTGGTTCTGGTACTTTGCAGTACCAGGACTCTGTTCCACTAGTCATAGCAAACATCGTCTGACAAGTTAGTTGTTGCTTTATACCTACTGACACTTGAAGACATCCACCAAGTCGAGTCAAGTCGAGTCGTCCGTCTTACACCAGACGCCAGGAATGCCTCTTCTGGAGGCAACACGACGCCATCCGTTGATAAGCTAGCATCTTGGCTTGAAAACCCCCTGTTTCCCCGTTGATATACTAGATATATGTCAAGAGTTAGGCAGAGCTAATGTCTGACAAGCGAGCAGAAAAACGAAAATCACTGCTCTTCTGGACGTGGCTTTCTGACCTCTTTCGTGCTGTTGCTCCGTCTCTTAGCTTTTTCATTACTCTGGACCCCTGCCAACGGATGCAGTTGTCCGTGCTCTCTTACATTGGATTGCAAGGGAACTAGAGATACATACAGACAACAGACCACTTGAGTTGCAAGAAAGACGGAATTAAATAGGCACAGACCATGAAATTACTTTGGGCCGTCGTACTGCACTCCCGTTTCTAAGGAGTTGAAGCATGTACAGGTACGGCTCATAAGGGACGGGACCCGACATGTACGCCCTCAAAGCTCAGAGTGGCATCATTAGTTGATTAGTTCTTTGTTCGACAGTGCGGCTCTCCTGTGATTGTCCTTCACTTTCTGTATCTGCAGCAGGAATCGTTATTGATTCGACAACTTGTAGATTAATGTGCAGCATCAGGTCAACACCCTTCAAACAGGGACCCCCCCTCTCCCTTTTGCACAGCTGCCCGCTACCGTTACCACTACCTATACTGAACTACGGCACCTTGATTAATAGGTACTGGCTCCTACCTGCCGAGACCTTCCATTTCCAATTGTTCCATTGACTCTTCTTCTTCCTCTCCCTGGAACATCCATCCATCCAACCAAACTCTCAAACTTACCTAGTCAAGGTCTTTACCGCTAGGTATCGCCATTATTGCCCATATTAGACCATTTCTCTTCCGCTATTACCGTACTGTTCTCCATCTTGGATCTTCACCAACAGTACATTTTTTTTTTCTTTTCTAGCAAGTCTAGTCTGCTAGGCAACTCAGCTAGAACTAGAGCACCTTGACATCCCACGTCTCGAAACGCCTCCACAAGCCCCCTCTTCACCGGGCTCCTCCTTTTCTCCCCCTCAAAAGACCATCCTCTCTCCCCTCTCTCTCCCCCGAGAAAGTCGGTCCAAAGTCGCACGCCGTCCCCTTGACCTCCCGCCGCCACCAACCTCCGAACGACGTCTCAACCCCCCCAAAAGGCCGAAGGCTGCACTACAAGAAAAATCCGATTCTCGCCTCCCGTGCTTTACGTCGCCCGCTAAGGTCCAGACCCTGCTCCGTCCCCGTCCCGATTCGATTCGACTTCACAAGCGCCCGGCCAGTCCAAACCCAGCCAAGCCAAGCCTCATCTTGCTTCGCTGACTTTTGAGCTGCATTTGCTTCTGCTACTGTACCCCTGCGACTTTGATCCTTTTGCCATCATCATCATCGTCGTCGTCGCCGTCAACATCATCGAAACCACTACCATCAATACAGCCTCTGTCTCAAATCGGATTTTCACTTCCACGATTTACACCGCAAGATACAGTGTCCTGCGAGATACTACCACGGCGCTCCGACTCCACCCCCGATCCATTCTTTAGGTTCAAGACTCAGCATGGGACTTTGCTATCTTTCACGATAATTCAACGTTGTCCACCATATCGATCCCCTCGCGATGGGCAATGGCCAAGGAAAGCCCGTCGACCTGAACGGCGAAGGTACGTAAAGGAGCTCAGCTCAGAAGCTTCTTTATATCAATTTCTGAAGTCGTTCGCCTTCCAAATCTATATCGCCATTGGTTTATCTGGGATTCCCGTCATCCTGCATGCCATTTGCTATCTTTTAGCCGCATATCACTTGGCGTCATCCTGTCTCCCACGTGTGTCATGCAACCTCTATCTGCGCGCTCTTGACGACCAATTTTTCTATCTTTTGCTTTCGCAGCCTCACAAGCTTCTGCCCCTTATCTTTATGACATTGTGGTTGGTGGGTTATGCTGACAGCTTTGTAGTGAACTTGAATCATTTCCGCCTCTTGCGAGTCGTCGGCCGAGGTGCCTTTGGCAAGGTCCGAATTGTTGAGCGAAAGGACACGAACCTGTCCTTCGCCCTCAAGTATATCCGAAAAGATGAAGGTAGGTTCACGATGCTCCCCGCCTGTCATACGCTTGGCTTTGGACCCGAAGTCTTGACTCGTGTCCCACTTCCATCGGTGGCAATTGTCAATTTGATGAACTTGGTATCATCTCTGTGGCACAATGCTAATCGTTCTGAACCTCGCAGTCGTACGATCCGAAAGCGTGCGAAACATCATCCGCGAACGCCGAATGCTGGAATATGTTAACCATCCTTTCATTTGCAACTTGAGATACAGTTTTCAGGATATTGAGTACATGTACGCCCTCTTGTAATCTACACCGCCTAGCGCTAGCTCACATTCGGTAACAGGTATCTGGTAGTTGATCTAATGACTGGCGGAGATTTGCGATTCCATATTTCGAGAAAGACCTTTACCGAAGAGGCTGTTCGATTCTGGATTGCCGAGCTTGGATGCGCTTTGCGATATGTGCACAGCCAAAATATCATCCATCGAGATATCAAGCCTGACAATGTTCTGCTCGATGCGGATGGCCATGTTCATTTGACTGATTTTGTACGCTCTTCACACCTTTTATATGCAGCTAAAACTAACGAAAATAGAATGTTGCTTCCGACGTCGTTCCAGGCAGGACACTTACTAGCAAGTCCGGCACATTGGCTTATCTTGCACCTGAAGTTTACGCTGGTAAAGGATACGATGTGCGGGCAGATTGGTGGTCCTTAGGTGTTCTGTTCTACGAATGTATTTACAACAAGGTAAGTTTTTTTAAACTGCACCAGTCATACATGTTTTCTCATTTGCTTTAGCGCCCATTCGAAGGTGGCTCAGAAGGATCTCTCAGTCAACAGATCCAGGCCGCTTCTCCCAAATACCCCGTTACGCAGCCGCCTGTGTCCCTCGCTTGCCTCTACGCAATCGGCTCCGCGCTCGACCCGAACCGCGATACTCGAATGGGATCAACATGGGAGAGCTTCACACAAAACGAATTCTTTAAGTGCTTTGATTTCGAACTACTCGAACTCAAGAGAATCGAACCCATTTTTGTTCCTTCATCCGAGAAGACGAATTTCGATGCCACATACGACCTCGAGGAGCTGCTATTAGAGGAGGCTCCACTCGAAGCCCGCGCGAGACGTCAGAAACCACGAGAGCGTCTAAAGGACGATGCAACTGAGAAAGAGATCAGGGAGGACGAGCTGTATCGCATGATTGAGACAGACTTCAAGCCATTCGACTATACAGTGGCTGCCTACAAGCGGTATGACGTCCTAGCTTGGCTGCCGTGACATCGATTTGCTAACTTGAACAGAATCACCGAAGGCACTGGTGCCAACCCAGAAGGACACCCCGATTCAGATAACGCTCCTCAAGCGATCACAACGGATGAAGCGACGCCTATGCCCGCAGTTAACGGAGGGTATCAGTCCTCACCCCTTAACCCAAGCACCAGCAATGAAAGCCGGCAGGGACGCCCTGTACGCCCTGCTCCGCCACCTCCACTGCAGAATGACTTCCGAGCTCGCCATGTTCCGATTGTTGCCGGCCAACGGATGACAAGTCCTACTGGAGGCGTACAAGTAACTCTTGATGGCAGCGGTAGTTGGTCTGAACTAGCTCGCCAGGATGCAACCTTGCCCACGGATGCTAACAATATTGGTGACGGCAAGAGTGAAGGCTCTGGCGGCATGTTCGGATTCCTCAAGGGCAAGAAGGGTCGTACAAATAGTCCCAAGCCAAAAGAAAGGGGTGTGTTGGGCAAGGAAGGCGCACGAGTTGTCATCGGATAGAGGAAGATGGAGGCTCACAGCAGGCCTTTTGCGTCCCAAAGTCGACAGACAAACAGCCAGTCGACGAATTGCACGCCAACGCCGAGATTTATCGGCTTCAATCATACGAAGAGTCTGCACCAACGAACTGATTATCCAACAATTCCTGCGGTACCAGCCTGCATTATCCGGCATACACTGGCACCGCGTTTCTTGGCCACTGTTCAACCGCCGCACTCGAGCATGCATTTCGACCAAGATACGGCAATAGTAGCAGCGCAAGGACGATGAGAAACGGCCTCTACTTCATTCATTAAGGCGTTCGGTCATGTATTACGGCTAAACGCCCTTCCTGCCTCTGGTTATAAGGGGCATCGCATGGGAGCAACGAACGCTAATGGGTAACGTGGTACAAACCAAGTCAATCACCAACACGAAAGGGAGCTTAGCGTTTGCAGGGGCACTTCATTCGTTCAAACCTGCAACAACTGGTAGGTGCTTCACCTGCCAGGGCGTTTTTCTCTTCGTGGGGGTGACATTGACGGGATATCATCATATCTTTACACACATTATTCATACCAACGACATTTTCACAAATGTCTAGTCGGAAGAGAAGGATCATATACAACTGGACTGGGTTTGGAGGCAATCAGGGGAGAAGGGGCACTAACAGGAGATGTCCGGTATTCATGGTTAACTTGTTTATTTTTGTGAGCATATTTGGAATAATACCCCCATTACAAATTATACTTCGGTATCGTCGTTTTGCTTATTCGTCTGATTCATGCAATTTCAAAGAAACGCCTCCAAACACTAAGAAATCCTTGCTCCTTGAGTATAAGGATTCGGGAATGCACCGGAATTAAATGATCTTCTCAGTTCATGACTCATGGCTTGAACTAGCTTAAATGTCTTCTTGAAGGCAGGAAAATGAAACCCGGTGCGACTATAGGGTACACTGAGAGGAATGAACACTGAGATGTATGAGACAGTATCACGGTGAGTGTAATGATAAGGAATGAGCAATCTGTTCCCTGACTGTTGAATGCGCAGTTAAAGCTTAGCAAGCTCGGTAAGACTTTATGATATATTATTCGAAGTAGCATAAGTTAAGTCTAACATCGTGCACCTCCCTTGCATCACAATCTGATCTCGGTGATAACTACCAAAACACTCGAATGATAATTCTCAACCACGCCTCGAAGTACCCTCTAACCATTTACTCCTGGCAATCAGAGACAGCAGAAGCCCATACTCACAGCAACGACCGAATATGTTGCTTAGTGGGTTGGTTGTCGTTCCTGTCTACCCAATATTCATTGTTTGTGTTGTGGTTTGAAGGAGTCGAGGAACTCGGTGACGAAGAGCCATCCACCAACACAGTTAGCGAATCTTGCCATATTAAGAATAATGGAGAATACTCACGGTGTAGGGTATCGAAAGCGGCTGATATATCATCTATCTGATCTTGAACCTGGTCCTGCTCCCGATGCTGCCTTTCTTCACGAAACCTCTTGAAATCCGGGCGGATAGTATTTTCATACCAGTCAGGGTCCGAAGAAAGCTTGTCCCAGTCGTAATGCTCAACAATTTCGTCTGCTTTGACTCTCCGCAGGCATAAGTGGTGAGCCTTAAGTTCCCAGTCTTGTATCCCATGTGGGATTTCAATGCCGTAATACTCATTTTCTTCGCCATAGGAAATGATAGGCCAGCCTGACTCGAGACGAACTGCAGGATCGACTACAGTAATGGTCTGATGTCTTCCTCCTGGGCGGGACTTCCTGAAGTTAGCCAAGTTCTCGAGTGCCTCTGGTGAGGAAGTGAAAGAGATATATGGCGTGGGCGTCCAGTTACGGTGTATAATGTGAGTCTGAAGGGACGACTGCCGGGCTTCGAAGGTTGTCAATGGCATATCGGATGCTCTGGTGGACATATCTCTAGATCCATCTGGTTGACTTCCTGAAAGGCCATCCCATGTCCTGAGAAGGGGTTTATCAACCGGATGTCCCCATACTGCTTGCGCAACAGGGGACCAGGAGCGTCCGGAGCTTTCAAGATTGTCAATAGAGTTCGTTTCAGTGGGGTCATCCAGACGCTTAGAAACGACAGGTGAGGTCTTGTATAGCATGTTTGTGGTTGTTGCGGATAGAAGTGGAACTTGCGTTTCTTGTTCGATAGATAATATGACGCTGAGTTGGTATATGGAGAAAGTGTATACAAGACCAATTTCTTGACATCTATTAATGTGCAGCTTTATGGTTGATTTAAATAACTGAGAGCAAAGTGAGGCCTCCTTGTGTTCAAGATGTGATCTTCCTTTTCAGTAGGCAGCGAGGCATTCGCAGGACCTGAGAACGTTCCAAGACCTCTTACAATAAGTTATCAGGCTCTCTAAAATGATGGTCGGCCTCCAGCATTGATATTCTATCCATTTGTTGGAACGTGTGTGGCTGAGCGGGCCATGAAAGCGACCGGGCGATGCGGAACCAACATACTAGGCGTTCATATGTGATATGGGTTGAACCATAATGGAAACTATCCTATATTAGTCTTCATAGAAAGTTCCAGATGATACCTTCATTTGCGTTTGTAGAAGCCGTTATGAGAATCATCTTCCAGGTTTCAGCTTATTGGTCCTTCACAAACAGTAGATATACACAGTGGTGATTCTGGTTGCCAGGCAAAGAACTCGAGGATATAAAAAACTATTGGCGATAGTAATAAGAGCGAAATACAACGAGAAATTGCTGGGCTCGGCCATCATATCCCAGCCTTGTTTCCAGCTTTCACCTAGGAACGTCTGATCCAAATATTGGGTTGACCGAAAACAACCTGTCTCGAGTGGGTATAACTGCAATAAATATCTGCCTTTTTTAACGTTTGAGAGATTGGCGAGAACTGATTGTGCAAATGTATAGACTGTGCCTTTAGTCATAGGGGCTTTACCGTGATACCGCAAAGCTCTGGTGAAGGTAGAGATCAAGGTAGATAAAGAGTAATAATGGGGGCGGTACGGAAGCTATTCTAATGATAAAACTTTATGGAGCAAAGAGGAAAGCTTGATATATTCAGTGGTATATAATGCTAGATCAATAAATGGTGCCTGGTATTGTCGGTATAAGCCCAAACGCCCAGTAATGCTATGGATCACACCCAGCCTCGACCTGCAAGGCTTATATTTTGTTATTGCCAAGAGAGAATAATCTCGCCCTCGAAGAGTCTCGTAAGACTGTTTCAGTTTTGGCCTTGACAGTATTTTTGGTTTCGTTCCTTGTCCCCGGTTCTGAAAGCACTCCCCCACCAGGCGATGTCGGACTCGGCAGCTGTCCATTGTTCTTGAACAGCGGTACAAAACATCGTGTACTAGGCACCCTCTTCTGTCCTTTGGCATTGTTAATGGCTACCGGAGGTGGCTTATTTGGGTTTGAGATTGGCGGTGATGAGCGAGGAAAGGACGCCTTTTCAGGGGGTGGGCTGGATGTGGTTGACTCCAGGGGATGCATCACATCGCGGAGAAGTTCCATGCCAAGAGAACTCATGGTACATATGGATGATGTACGATTCTGGGGGCCTCTGGATGGCTTGGACTCTCCAACAGCTGATGGCCTAGGGGTAGGTATAGGCGGCAGCGGACCTTGTGGAGGAGGATTATTTGGAGGGGGCAGCAATGGAGGGTTTCGCCGCAGAGGGCTTTGCTTCGGAGAGCTTTGTGACAAAGAGTATTGAAGAATAGGAGTCCTTGGCATAAAGTTCTCTGACAGAGGTGTGATTGGCAAGCGTGGCGAAGGAAGAGGCCTCTTTGCCAGAGCCGTTGTTGACATCGTCTTCTCAACCCCCAACATCTGGGCAGCCTTTGTCGGTATAGTAGGCGGCGGGATCGGTTGAGCTGAAGTCATACCCACTTGAGTGGTAGTTACAGCGTTTCCCAAAGTCCTCTGAGAGTATACAGAGTCTGCATCCGGGACCGATATTTGGTGGTTGAACGTCTGACGCCATGAAGCATGAGCCGAGCTGCTAGACGTTGTTCCTGGTGTTTCAGTATTTGGGCATGGCGGTGTCCCACCATTGATCTTTTTATTGCATTCCCGTTGACGAGCAACATATTTCTTAAGGATGAGAACGCCGAAAAACACCGTGATGCTGATGATAATTCCACCAGCAACAGTGCCTCCAACAATTGCACCTTCCTCGGTCCCACTCCTTGCATATTCTCTGGAATAATTGTCCTGGGAGGTCTCTTCGTTCCTTTTGCCTGGGTTTGTAAAGCTTCCAAGGATATGGGATACTGGTGACTCGGTGTCTTCCTTGCTCAACACCGGAGGTCCTGTTGCTCTTGGCAGTGCTTCCACATATCGGGTGGCGAAGACCACAAGCAGATATACTGGGAGTGGTATCCAAGAGTTCATATCCATGGTGCTTGTTCGTGTAGTCGTTATGCTTCGGGGCCATTCTGAACTCGTCGTGAACCATGGGGTTCATCGGTCTATAAACTCTCGGTAGAACGTCTCATGCTCGAGGATCTTCGTTTACAAGATTGAAAGCCATTGCAATAATAGCATCATCCTGGCTCAGTTGACAAAGAGTATCACCCATGATCGGGCTCGCCTCGAGAGACCATATCAAGGTGCGCTTTGTTATTTCATTGTACGGGGACTTTTCGCTCGCATCGTTTCGGGGAATCGTTCCGTTCCAATTGTTATTCGAAGAGGCCAAGTTTAGAACTTTGTTTCATGTCTCGATCCGTCTCTTTTAACAAAGAACACATGTCCTAAGCATGAGGAAAACAAAGAATGGCTACAGTCAAGGTCTTGTTTGCATTGACCTCTGAGCATTTTGTAAGACTGACGGGGTCTCGTGTCTCTTTCTTTGACCACAAAAATAGAAGTATGACAAGAGTCCCTTTAACAGTTTTTTTCTTTCTTTTTCAGCAAGTGACAAAGCAGCAGCATCGACGAATTTAAACTTGTGGTATCACAGATATGCAGGGCGATGGCGTTGAGATAAGGTTACAGAGCAACTGACTTCAACTGATATGCGGCCGTTTGTTCTGTAATGCGGATAGTCTGTTTCTTGGATCTCCGGACTGATAAACCCGTATACACAGCTCAACACAGGTCATGATTGGGGAACCTGGTTATCTAATCTTCAGCCTTGAGAACCTTTGAGAAGCGACGAGGGTCAACAGTCACGTAGGATTGCAGAGATGACTCGCATTGGTACGTGCTAGAGATAAGACATAAAAGTCTTGAGGACCCCAGATTTTGTGTACCCAACTTCTGAGCCTATATACCCAACCAAGCTCGGCTGGAGAAGCAGACCAGCCATAGAAGATACCTGCAGGCCCCGAGAAGTCTGGCAGTGGTGAAAGAGTCTTGAGCATGACATGGGCTTCAAGCAAGACCTCCAGACAGTAACCTCACCGGTGATACTCTTGCAGTTCGATGAGATGAGCGCATCATGGTCCAACTCGCCTGCGTTGGCAACCCCTCGACCCCTGCCTGATGATCGCAACCTTAACCGCCAAGGTCAGCCGAGCAGCATGCCTCTTGAGATAGGAGATAACATGGTCTCGTCCGGAGTGCTGCACTCGCATATGCTCCTTGCCCCTTGACCCCCCCAACTCGAACTGGGACCCCCACCTGTAGGCAAAGCAATATTCAAGTTGATTCCCAGGTCTATTCCCACCGGATGCAAGGAAGCCAGAAACCGGTCCCGAGGGCTCAAACAGTGAATCTGCACCGAGGCGGCACTCATCCTTCAAAATGGACTGTCTCTGTTGATAGGTGCCTCTCGGGGATTTGACCGAAGCTAGAGAACTGTCATGCCGGTAGCAAATGGCTCACGACAGGCTTGGTGGGCTACTTTCCTTGCTGGTTTCTGCCGCTCGAGTGCATCTCACATGTTGATTTGTGGGCTAGGAGGCTGTTGCGGGCGTTCGAGAATGGCGCTGAGAGATCTGATCGGTCAACCCACTCCTAATGTCTGGGGACACAAGCAGGCATGACATATTAATATCTGTCTCTATCTCTGGCCCACACCGCTATAGCGGGGCGACACTCCGGGCTGGCTCTCTCTTGTGCGAGATCCGCTTTAGAGCTTCTTCTCCAAATTGTCTGTTCTTGAACATGTTACAGATCGTATTACCCATCAAACGAGCCACTTGATTTGTTCTTCACAGCCACCGGGTTTCCCTTTGAAGGTCCTCCGGCCCTGTTATCCCTGATCACCAGTCCCCAGTCTGGCAGGCTGAGCGGCATGTGGGGAAAGGATATATGCATGGAGCTTTGTTCCCGCTGTTGTTGCTGATGAGAAGTGAAGTTGCATCAACACATGGTTTCTTTCATGCCAGGAAGCGGAGAACTGCACAGCATCTCGACGGTTATGAACCGTTCGAATCGATTCAGGCTCGACGGAAACCTATTCCCGCATGACTCCCCATACGTCCGTCATCTTTCTGGGGGACTTGAGGCAAATTGGGGTTAAGGTATTTAGTTATGACCATATGATTTAGGCGAACACTCTATAAATGATTGTTTTGTTGAAATTGCTTGCCGTTGATGAGCTCTATTCTTGTGCTAGTTAGGCGCTTGAACTTGTGAGATGATTGGTTGGTTGAATCAACTGAGACGAGTGTCGTCAAACTTCAAATCTTCTATAATATTAGGCTTTGAGGCCTTGGATCTTTGTTTTCCCGGGTGTCGATGATACCTATTAATCAGTGGATTTGATAGTGTTTGTTTGAGCAACAGGCTAAAGACCGAATCCACATTCTCATGGATGACTAGGATGGTCAAGCCGCTGACACCATGCTCGGTCGTTTAGTGCAGTATTTTGAATCATTTGCGGGCGCAACGTCTTGTACACGAGCCTCTCACAGCCGAGTAGTTGCAAGCCATCAACAGGAACGAGGCACTGAAAGTGACAAGGGTTCCCGTTCGTCCATATTTCCCGGCCCGAGGAGGATAGAATTCGTTTTCGGTGTTATTATTTGATCTCGTTCAAATCGAATGTGTACTAGGTAGGTATCAGGGTTGATTTGCTACCTATTGCGAGAAGTCTTCGGGTTCAATCGCGATGTTGATTTTGGAAAATCTTCATGGCCAAGTAGCTCGTGTTATCACGTTTCTGCCCGTGGTGTTATACCACGATACGGCAAAAACTGGCTCTTTGCACATGCTCTGTCAACAACCAACTCTGGCTTATACTCGTCCATTAAAGGCATATCATCAACCTGGACTTTTATTGTCCTGATGACGATGGAAGATGTCGGAACAACCATACCTGCTGCCCAAGTACCACTAGCAAGGCCCCCCTAACCCTCCTAGCTCGCCCGTCAACACCCCTGCCGGCTCGTGGGTAGTAAGTGGGGGTTGATGCAAGTGCTCTCGCTGTGTGAGTGAACATGAATGTGAATTTGTTGCGCTCCACCAACTTCAAAACTTCCATTCAATGCTGTTGTCTCGAACCGTCCAACGTCGCCGTGCAGCTCACCGGGATATACACATGCGGCTAAAATAAGCATCTGTATGTAGCCAGGGGTTGCCTTTGCCTGCTGCTGCCGGCTAATGCATGCTTTGAATATTTGATTCTTCTAATGAAAATCGAATGCATTAGACATTCAAACTTCGGAGCTTGTTGGTAAAGTTCCCAAAAGACACAAGTTGGCCAAAGCCAATATCAAACCCTGTCCATTTAAATCTGTCCAAGGGAAGAATAAGAATTTAGGTGCCTGATACCCATGTCCTCCAGAACATCCATGAAAGAATCTCAAACTAGATTGGTACCCAAATCATATACTGTGAGAGCTGACTGCAATAGTGTACTTTCATGAAAACAGGAAGGATGCTCATCTGGTAACACGATACACAGTCTAGACAGTCCCCAGAGTTCTCCGCCAGAAAATGGTGATACGGCGCATCTGGACGTGTGCTCCAATTCCCCAGCTCCCCCATCTCCGTATTCTCTGAATCTACTCGTTCGTGTGTTGCTCAATGCCCTTGTTTTCCAGAACGAAGCCTCAAATTAGTGGTTCGGAGCCGCAATGGCAACGAACTACCACGTCCAATGAGCGTCTTGATGGGCACACCGACGGCATGTGTTATTATTGAAGAGCCTCTAGTCTTGTCTATTTTAGTTGGCAGCCATCACGGAAGAATTAACGTCGTGTGGTTCATCCTTTCCTCACTTGTGACGGTACATTGCCAGAAGCCGAGGTGACGGCTCCAAGACGAGAGTTTCAGTTTGTTTCGCCGTGACGGATATACAGGCCATGAACTTGGTCTGCATCGAGCAACCGGCGACCAGGTACCCTGAAAATCGTCTTGCTGGGCTGAATTGCATGTGGCGGCCGGCGAGATGGCTCCACCATCTAAATCTGCCAGGGCGACCCCTAGCCCAAGCTCACGCACGGTCGTGGGTCTGTCTTGATGAAGCGTTCCAGATACATTCAAGCTCTCATTCCCTGATATTCAATATCCATTTCTGAAGTTGCCTCAATGAAGGAATGAGATGTAGAGAGTGGTGCGGCAAATTGCCACAGACGCGATCGCCAATATGGACAACGACTGGCAATGCTCAAACTCCACTGAGCCATCGTCCGAAGTCGCACAGATGCCTCGGTCCCAGATATGTGTTAACTCGCAGAAGTAACAGCCATTATACCACAACAGAACGGAAATTCTCTGTAAGATGGCTCGAAATGCGTGGTAAATTTCATGCAGTAATATTGAAAATCAACATTAAACAGACCCGATTAGTAGTCGGTAATGTCGAAACATAAACGGGCGTCATGACTCGGATTTTAGTTTGGTGTTTTGGTCAAGAAGAGTACCAAGTACATATTGACACGCGATATCCGGCCGTTGAGGGTCGACGCAGACCAGTACGGATTCAGGCAAGCGTAGGCTGCCATGCTTGCGAGAACGGCCGGGTTGTATGCTTGAGGCGGTTAACGGAACTTGGAGCAGGCCCATGCCATGTGCACTGGAGAACGACACCACAGCATAGATCGCGCCTTGGTCGACAGTCTATCCGCTTGGCTGGTGTTATTTGCTATAACAAGCAGCGCAGAGCAGAGAAGTACCTATTTGAATCTTAGAAATTAAGGCTCATTGGGTCGGACGTGCCTAGCGCCCCTTGACCATTGACATCCATGGCTGAAGAGCCAGCTTCTCGATTCTTGACGCCCTGGATGAGCCCAGCATCGTGGGTCCCAAGTTGGCGGCGTTTGCCCGAACAACAGTGATCGCTATCCACTCATTGTTCCAGGGTTCATCAGCTGTACTGTACAGTACTTGGTGTTGCTGGTGATCATCTATGCTGTGTTAGTGGTGGTTACAACGTGAAATTCTCTTGAGATGTTTTTCTCTGTGTTTTTATTCAACAAGAGAAAATAAATAGAATCGAGACCTGC